TAAAACAGTGTTTCTAATTTAGTGTCAATGTTTGCTTATTCATATTCTGGGGCCTCATTTAAAAAACTATAACCAGTAACAACATTATCGAAAGTACCATTATGCTCTATACAAACCTCACAACTTAAATTAAACCTGGGTCTCATCCAATCACAATTCATGTATACACTGGTAGATAATTTGTAACCAATCATTGTAAAGCTCATGTTTTTATCAATTAAATTTCAGCGGGTAACCTTCTACCAAGAATTCCTCATGAGCCCAAAATGACATTGGTAACATTGAGAGTTGAAAAACTTGGGTTAAAAAGTGCAAGTTCGCATATTGATCCATATATAACAATATCAGTCAAAGGTCAGTAGTATTCACATGTCTGCAGCATCGCCGTATGGCTGCCTTTAGTAGGGAGATTTTATTTTGGGTTGAAAAGTGCAAGTTCGTATATTGATCCATATATAACAATATCAGTCAAAATTCAGTAGTATTCACATGTCTGTAGCATTGTCGTATGGCTGCCTTTAGTAGGGAGATTTTATTTTATGCTAATTGATTTTGCCTGGCACCAGAACATCATTTACCTTGGGAAGGTAATAGACGTGGTAAAATTTACCACATATCACTTTAATTCATGTGGTGACTGTCATGACTTCTCTGGCGCATCTGCTTCTATGTACAGCACTAAAACTTGGGTGGCTCAATGTCTAGCTGTTCAGTATCATTGAGACTGTGGGTTTGATTCCTTTAGTCGGATAACTAACCACAGACAGTGATACATCATTACTTCTTATTTTCATGGCTGATACAACTAACCACGAAATATATTGTACATTTCTTTTCTCATAGACGTAAGTGGTGTTGATTTAACACCTATTCAAGAAACACCAGTAGCTGTAAGAAAAGAAGATTTATATATTCATTTTGATGCAGATATAGAACTACAGAAACCATTAGAAAAACTACCAAAAGGTTAGTACTGTATGTAATGATTATCTGTGCCAATGAATGTAATGATAACTAATAATTTCCTCCATTTGTTTTGTAAGCTTTCCGTAACTTACTAAATTTATAATGTTTGCATTTTCAGGTACAGCAATCTTTTTTGAATTCAAGCATTATAAACCTAAAAAGAAGTTCACAAGCACAAAGTGTTTTGCTTTCATGGAACTTGATGAAATCAAAAGTGGTGGTTGTGTCATTGAATTGTAAGTCTATAACATTTACTTCATGGTCCTCAATCTACATATTGTTTACATTGCAATGGGGCATGGTGGGCTTGCTTTGTGATGTGATTGTTTGTACAGGATGTTAGTGGGTATATTGATGAATTGACACAATAGTGTAAGATTTAAGCTGATTTAGGCTTATCTAGCATATTTGCATTTTGGCTAGACCCAATTGCGTCCACGCAAAGGGAGGGCCAGTCGTTAGCACGGGCTAAGGGGCGCCATCAGTCGGTGACCTTTGGCAAGCCGCTATTTACGAACGAAAAATGGATGACACGCGCAAGGTTCTATTTCTGCTGCTGAAATGTTTCGTTATAATTTTGAAGCGACATGCACAGGAACGCGAGAGAAGACGAGCCCAACTTATTTGGATGCACAGAAACAGTATACAACGGCGTAACAGAATACAGAGTTTTATTAATGCATGTCTAGACAG